ATGAAAACTCTAGAAAAAAAAACTAACCAAAATGGAGATAAGCAATCTATTAGATGCAGTGTTCAAAATACTGGTTGTAAGGATGCTCAAGGAATTCAATGGATAGTACAAGAGCACAAAAAAGACCCAGGCAGAAATGAAGGATATTCTAACTGAAATAAAGAACAATTTACAGAGAATCAACAAGGGAGTGGATGAAGCCAAGAACGAAGCCAATGATTTAGAATAAAAGGAAGAAGAAAATATCCAGTACAGCAAGAAGAAAGAAAGAATTTAAAAAATTGAGGATTATATAAGAAACAGCTGGGACAGCTTCAAATGTTCCAACATTCACATCAGAGGGGTGCCCAAAGGAGAAGAGAAAAAGCAAAAAATTGGAAACCTATTTGAAAAACAATGAAAGAAAACTTCCCTAATTGGCAAAGGAAATAGACATACAAGTCCAGGAAGCACAGAGTCCCAAACAAGATGGACACAAAAAGGGCCACACCAAGACATATCATAATGAAAATGCAAAAAATTAAAGATAAAGGGAGAATCTTAAAAGCAGCAAGAGAAAAGCAGATAATTACCAACAAAGGAGTCGGTAATTAGACTGTCAGCTGATTTCTGAAAAGAAACTTTGCAGGCAAGAGGAATTAGCAAGAAGTATTCAAAGTGATGAAAATCTACAACCTAGATTACTCTACCCCGCAAGGCTATCATTTAGAATGGAAGGGCAGATAAACTGCTTCCCAGACAAGGTAAAGCTAAAGAAGTCATCGTCATCAAGCCCTTATTATACAAAATGTTAAAGGAACTTATTGAAGAAAAAGAAGATCAAAACTATGAACATTAAAATGGCAATAAGTACATAACCATCAACAACTGACTCTAAGAACAAACTAAGCAAACAAACAGAACAGAAACAGAATCACAGATATGGAGAACATTGGGATGGTGGCCAGTGGGGAGAGAGGTCTGAGATAACGGGATAAAAGGTGAAGGGATTAAGAAGTACAAATTGGCAGGTATAGAATAGATGGGGGATGTTAAGAACAGTACAGAAAATGGAGATGCCAAAGAACTGATATGCATGACCCACAGATATGAACAAAGGAAGGGGGATCACCGGAGGAGATGGAGAGGGTGGTTAAGAGGGAAAAACTGGGATGACTGGAATAGCATGAACAATTTTAAAAAGAAGATCAAAAGTGGTGCAGACCGTGCAGAATTCAGCATGTCGTACTGATGTTGCACACTGTGTTACTTACCGTTCGAAAAGCACCTCTGACCAGCTCCAGACAACACAATCAGCTTTTGTAATGGTGTCAGCGAGTAAAGGGATGCTTCTTAATCAAAAAGTCATGTTACAGGCCCTGGCTGGTGTAGCTCAGTGGATTGAGCGCGGGCCTGTGAACCAGACAATCGAGGTTCGATTCCCAGTCAGGGCACATGCCTGGGTTGCAGGCTGGTTCCCTGCATGCCAGTTCCCAGCAGGGGATGCACAAAAGGCAACCATACATTGATGTTTCTCTCCCTCTCTCCTTCCCTTCCCCTCTAAAGATAAATAAATAAAATCTTTAAAAAAAAAGTCATGTTACAAAATAAAAATCCTACAACTTAAGACTGTGGTTGTGAGAATAACACTGTAAAAAAATTAATGTTTAGCTGTAGCTGGGTAGCTTGGAAGGAGCATCATCCTGTACATCAAAAGGTTGTGGGTTCAATCCCTAGTTGGGGTTGGAATGAGAGGCAACTAATCAATGGTTCTCTCTCTTGCTCCCTCTCTCTCTCTACCTCTGCCTCTTAAATCAATAAACATATCCTTGGGAGAGGATTTGAAAAATAAATAAATGTATATTCATTAGCAGAATGCCTGGCTGGAACAAGCCCTCAGTAAATATGAGCTAGTATTATATTTATTATGCCCCATAGGTTTTTAAGATTAATATATAATTTTTCTTTTTAAGGTTCATAATTTTGAAATTTATGTATTAAAAAAAATTATTATGGCCCTGGCTGGTGTGGCTCAGTGGATTGAGTGCTGGTCTGCAAACAAAAGAGTTGCAGGTTGGATTCCCAGTCAGGGCACACACCTGGGTTGCGGACCAGGTCCCCAGTAGAGGGCAAGTGAGAGGCAACCACCCACTGATGTTTCTCTTCCTCTCTTTCTCCTTCCCTTCCCCTCACTCTAAAAATAAATAAAAGTATTATCTTTTTAAAAAATAATTATTTCAGGTAATCTACATTCTTATTTTTATTTATTTTTGTTATTAGCCAAGAGAAATTAATCTATTACTATTTTGTTTGAGTTAACACTCAAGTTTTCTTTTTCTCTGCTTCATATGATTCTAAGTTATGTTGGTGTAACAACTGATGACCGTTGCAGGTGTATGGGGCTTTCAGCTTGTCTGGATCTAGTTCTGAAGTGAGAGAGGGAGGTTAGTACCGTCTGCACCTTCTGGGTTGTGAGGAGGTTCAAACATGATGGGCAGGAAAGTGGGGAAGGGGTTGCAAACTCCCAAGGACACATGGAGGGTGGGGGTGCATATTGGGACTAATAGTATTGCCTGGTCCAGTCTCCACTCTTGGGCTGTGTTACTTGGCTCAGGCTGCCATAACACAGTACCGCAGATCAGGGAGGCTCAAACAACAGAAATTTATGTTCTCGCAGCCCTGGAGGCCCGAAGTCCAAGGCCCAAGTGTCTGCACTGTGGGTTTCTTCTGCCGCCTCTCTCCTTGGCTCAGAGATGCCCATCTTCTCCCCGCGTTTCTCCTCCGCGCCCATCTATCTAAATTCCCTCTGTTGCTAAGGACTCTGCTGGAAGTGGGTTAGGGTCCATCCCAATGACCTCATTTTCACTTAATCACTTCTGTAAAGAGCCCGTCTCCAAATATGGTCTCCTATTGAGGTCTTGGGGGTTAGGACTTGAGCATATAATTTCAGGGGACGGACACCATGTAGTCTGCAACATAGGTCACTGAAAGAAGGAAGACTATCCAGGAAAGTTTTCCCTGTCATGTCAGGGAGTCACGGTTCCCTGTGGGCCCAGCATTGTCCCCCTGGGCTGTAGCAAGAGGGGACAACGAGCAGTCAGCCTCGGCTTTCACGGGCAGCCGCACCGAGGCACAGGCAGCTCCTGAGCCGCTGCCTCTGTCATTCCCCAACATCTTTGTAACATGAATCTGCATTTTACAAAGTTCAAATGTGGTTCTACGTTCATCTTTTTCCCCCTAAAGACCCAGGAGGTTTCATATCTTCGGAGAACTGAGATACTTGATAACCCACTTTCTTCCCTTGGAGGGTTCCTTCTCCCTCTTGACTTGGTGGGTACGGTCCAAGGGTGCAGATCGGGCCACCGTAGGCTTGCCGTGATGGTTGGTTTTACCTGTTCATTTTCCTTCTGCATGTTCTGGGGTTCATTGTTTATTCCTGAAGTTTGGAAGCTACTACATATGTCATGTGATGCTTTCTTTTTTCTCTAAAATCAATTTTTAGATACAAGACTTTATTTGGGGACTTTTTTATTATTATTATTATCATTGGATACTTCATTTTGTTCATGTGCAGCTCATCTCCAGGAATAACTAGTATTGTGTGTATATTAGGCCATTTTTTTCCATAATTATCATCCTTTCTCTAGTCAGTCTCCCCCTCACTTCTACCATTTAACTTTCATTTCCGGCATACTTCACATGCTTCATCTGCCTTGTTTTTGGGAGAATTGATTTAAATGTTTGATGGTTTTGAGGCTGTCTTAATTTCTCTAAAGATTTCATCATTTCTTTCCGTGGTGCCCTGAGTCATGCTAGTCTACTCTTGCTTTCCGTGTGTCACTGCTCACAACACCAGTGATCACCGTCAATCTGCCCTTCACATGTCGGGTCTGCTGTTCTCTTTTCTGTGTCGTTTTTGTTACGCAGTTCACGTTTGCAGCCTTGTGCTTACTCCTCGAAGAGGAAGCAGGTCACTTGGGAGATAAAACGGTAAAATGGTGTGTGTGAACCTCAGTGCGTTTGGCAGACAGGGTGCGGCGGAGGGAAAAGCTAAGACGGGGATTTGACTTTGTGTTGTCTCAGACTGCACCCTCACGGAACGTGCTCCTCCCGCTGCCCTGGGCGCACTCCTGTTCCGTGTGTGTCATACCCCGCCCCCCTTGAGGGGGGTGGGTAACTTAAGGTGGTATCCTTTGTGGCCTCCACATTCCCTTCAGGCCTGGGAGTCTGGCAGGAAAAGGAACACAAGGGGATGTGTCGGCAACTCCACCCCGTCCCAGCCCCTCTCTGCTGCGGTGTGACGGGGAAGCGTGTCCCTGTGGAGAGATTCTCAGTTTCATCACCAGCCCGCAGCTATGAATACCTGTCACTGTGAATTTGTATTCAGAATTTCTAGGACCCCCTCATTTACCTTTACAGATATAGATTCTGTGAGGAAGAAGAGCAGCAGAAGAAATGGACTTTCCATGGCCTCCTTGACTTGTCCCAAGTGTCACTGTGTGGCACATATGTGATCTGCCCCTGTAGTGACACACATATGGTCTTGTGACCCGGCGGTTCCTTAAGTTTCACAAAATATGGGGTTTTATTCTCCATGAAAAATGTATTTCTAGGCTTTGGGGTTTTTTTTTCAGCCTTACTGAAGTACAGTGGACAAGTAACTTTTAAGACATTTAAAGTGTGCGTTGTGCTTTGATACATGCACACACTGGGAAACGAGTCCCACACTGAGTCCTAACACCTCCATCCCCTCGTACAGTCACCTTTTCTTGTTTTCTGTTTTGGTGAGAGCGTTTAAGTTCTACTCTCTTAGCCAATATCAATTACACAATACCGTGTTATCAGCTATATTTCATGGTTTTTCAGGAAAAAAGCTAGGGTGAGCAGGTTCTTAATTCTATTTAACTTTTAAATTGTCAGTGTAGCAATGACTGTAGGATGGGAGCAATGAAACATCCCTTTCAAGTGCAATGTCAGCTTCAGAAAACCGGAGGGTCTCACGTTACCTCTTTTCCTTGCAGGCAGGAAGTGACTCCAGTTGAGAGAGAAAATCGAGGTCAAGATAAGAAAAGTAAGTCTTCACTTCCCAGTACTTGCAGTACCAGGAAAGCTATACATTTAAACATCCAAATTAGCCGTGGTTCTGACGCTCCGTCGGGATCGAAGGAAACACCTGCTTGGAGTCTCAGCCCTTCATTTTTTTTTAATCTCATAAAACTGATCTTTTTATTCTTTGTATCACGACACTATCTACATATAATTCTTTCAAGCAACACTTAGTAAACTTCTAAGGGAAGCAATTAGTCAAAATCCTACTGATTTTAATTTCTATATTGTTATTTTAAAATAGGGCTGTTTTGAGGATGTGGTGTTGTGACGTGTATCTTTTCTGCTCATGCATTTGCTCTGTTTGACTTAGTATCTAGGTGTAGTCATCACGGAATTCTTTTAAAATGGACAACTGCAAACAACAAGGTCTGGTCCCTTGGGACAGGCGTATCTGAAGGAAGCTCGCTTTTCTCATCGCTGTTGCTTCAGCTGTCTTCTCGCGTTTCAAGCCCCTTCAAACGATGGCCTCACAGTGCCCCTGGAAGTCTGCATTTCCAATCACCCCTCAGCTCCCTGAGTGTACTTCATGGTCTATGAAATGAATGTACTTTGCCAATACCATCATGACCATAAATGAAATAACACACTCCAAAAGCATCAAAGCACCTTGCATGTAAAATTGCCATATGAGACAATTTTTCTTTTTTTTAAAGATTTTATTTACTTATCTTTAGAGAGGAAGGGAAGGAGAGAAGGAGAGAAATATCAATGTATGGTTGCCTCTCGTGAGTCCCCTGCTGGGCACTGGCCTGCAACCCAGGCAGGTGCCCTGACTGGGAATCGAACTGTGATCGTGTGCTTCTCAGACCCGCGCTCATTCCACTGAGCTACACCAGCCAGGGCATGAGACAATTTCTTAAATTCACTGAGGTAACATTGGTTAATAACATTATATAAGTTTCAAGTTTAAAATTCTATGATACATCATCTGTATATTGCAATGTGTGCTCAACACCCCAAATCCAGTCTCCCACCATCACTGTATATTTTACCCCTTTCATCCTTTTCACCTCTCCCCACCCCCCTTCTCTGGTGACCCCCAATCTGTTGTCAGTGTCCATGAGTTTTGTTTGCTTGTTTATTGCTTTTTGCTTTATTTCCCACATATGAATGAAATCATATGGCTCTTGTCCATTTTCAATGACATGGTTATCTTGATGGTACGTACATAATGTATATGGCTGTACTATAAACCATGGTGTAAAGTGTATTTCTGACCACAGGGCATGTTGAATGCCTCTGTCCAGATGTAACTGCTATAGACCCTAAAACGCAATGTTCAGTCTTAATCTCAACTACCTCATTTCTGGCACTTACAAATGTTGCTCGGCATCTCCCTCCTGAGGTGGCCCCTTCCTCTGTGGGACACCATGCTCCACCGTGCATCCCCGGTCACAGCCACTTCTCTGTCACCTCACACTGCCCTGCCTGGGCACACCAGAAATGTGGGTGGTCCTCAGTGACAGGTCTTGGAACACTTTACTTTCTTAAAGAGTTTGTGTGGGATTGATCTCATTCCTTCTGCTATTTGGTAGAATTTTCTGGTGAAACTATAGGGTCTTGGTGATACCGTGAAGGACTTTTTCACATACAGATGCAAATGCTTTTGTAGTTATAAAGTACTCATATTTCATTTTTCATTAAAATTTCAAAGTCCTCAGCTTAAAATTGTTCATCATATTCTTATATGTATTTTATTATACTGTTTTACATTTTAAGTAACAGTTGACATACATACCATATTAGTTTCAGGTGTACAACATAATTATTTGACATTTACATACCTTATGAAGTGACTCCCCCATAAGTCTAGCCCCCACCTGACACTGTACAGATTTAATGCAATATTATTGACTATATTCCCTGTGCCGTACTTTATATCCCAGTAACTATTTTTGCAGCTGGCAATTTGTACTTCTTAATCCCTTCACCTTTATTTAACCAGCACCTCAAGCTCCCTCCCACCTGGCAACCATCAAACTATTCTCTGTATCTATGAGATTGTTTCAGTTTTATTTCATTTATTTTGTTCTTTTAAGTTTCACATATAAGTGTAATTGTGTGGTATTTGTCTTCCTCTGAATGACTTATTTCACCTAGCATAGTACCCTCTAGGTCCCTCTGTGTTGTCACAAATGGTAAGATTTTATTCTTTGTTACTGCTGAGACAAAGTCTGCTGCATAAATGTACCACCTCTTCTTTACCAGTTGTCTGTCAATGGGCAGTTGGGCTGCTCCCATATCCTGGCTATTGTAAACAATGCTGCAATGAACACAGGGGTGCATATATCTTTTCATATTAGTGTTTAGATTTCTGTGAATAAATACCCAGAAGTAGGATTGCTGGGTCCTATATTAGTTCAATTTCTAATTTTCTGAGGAATCTCCATACTGTTTTGCATACTAGCTGCACCAATTTACAATCCCACCAACAATGCACAAAGGTTTCATTTTCTCCAACACTTGTTGTTGGTTGATTTATTGATGATTAATTGCTCTGATGATTAATATGTTGAACATCTTTTCACATGTCTATTGGTCATCTAATGTCCTGTTTGGAGAAATGTCTGTTCACATCCTCTGCCCATTTTTTAACTGGAATGTTTTTGGTGTTAAATAGAATAACTTCCTTATATATATTTATACTAATCCCTTATAATATATACCATATCATTGGTGAATATCTTCTTCTATTTAGTAGATTGTCTGTTTGCTTTGTTAATGATTTTCTTGGCTGCATAGAAACTTTTTAGTTTGATGTAGTCCCATTTGTTTAGAATATCTTTTATTTTCCTTAACTGGGGAGACATATCCAAAAAAATATTATTACTAAGAGTGATGTCACAGAGTTCACTGCCTATGTTTTCTTCTAGGAGTTTTGTGGCTTCAGGTTTTACATTTATTTCTTTAATATATTTTAAGTTTATTCTTGTGTATGGTATATAAAAGTGATCTAGTTTCATTTTTGTTTGTCTCTGTCCAATGTTCCCAATGCTATTTATTGAAAAGAATGTCTTTTCCCCATTGTATGCCCTTGCCTCCTTCATCATAGACTAACTGATCATATAGGCAAGGGTTTATTTTGGGGCTTTGTTCTGTTCCATAGATCTATGTAACTGTTTTTATACAAGTACCATGCTGTTTTGATTAGTATTACCTGGCAATATAGTTTGATATCAGGTAGTGTGATATCTCCAACTTTGTTCTTTCTCAAGATTATTGTGGCTATCCTGGGTCTTTTGTGGTTCCATGTAAATGTTAGTATTATTTATTCTAGTTCTGTGAAAAATGCCATTGTTATTTTATGATTGCACTGAATCTGTAGTTTGCATTGGGTAGTATGGACCCTTTAATGTTGTTAATTTTTTCTATTCACAAACATGGTATATCCTTTTATTTATTTGTATTTTCTTTGGTTTCTTCAATGTCTCATAATTTTCTGAATGCAGGTCTTCACTTACTATAAATTTATTCCTAGGTATTTTTTTAAGATTTGATTTATTTAATTTTAGAGAGGAGAAGGGAAGGAGAAAGAGAGGAAGAGAAACATCAATGTGTGGTTGCCTCTTCAGTGCTCCCTACTGAGGATCTGGCCCACAACCCAGGCATGTGTCTTCACTGGGAATTGAACTGACAACCCTTTGGTTTGCAGGCCCATGTTCAATCCACTGAGCTACACTGGCTGGGGATTTAGATTTTTTCTTTTTTAAAAAAATATATTTTATTGATTATGCCATTACAGTTGTCCTATTCCCCCCTTCATTCCCCACCACCCTGAACACCCCATCCCCACCATTACCCCCCCTTTCATTTATGTCCATGTGTCACAAGTTCTTTAGATTCTATATTTCCCATACTATTCTTGCCCTCCCCACTGTCTATTTTCTATCTACTGTCTATGCTACTTATTCTCTGTACCTTCTCCCCCCTTCTCCTCCTCCCACTCCCCTGTTGCTAACCCTCCTTGTGATCTCCATTTCTATGGTTCCACTCCTGATCTAGCTGTCCTCTTAGTTTGCTTTTGTTTTAGGTGTGGTTGTTAATACTGTGAGTTTGCTGTCCTTCCACTGTTCATCTTTTTTATCTTCTTTTTCTTAGATAAGTCCCTTTAACATTTCACATAATAAGGGCTCTGCCCCTCATATGTAACAGGTGCGAACAGACCAAAACATTATGGCTCAAGAACAGTTCAAAGCCCCAGAACCAATAATTCTAAGCGACCAAGAGATAGCAAAAATTTCAGATGCACAGTTCAAAACACTGGTGATCAGGATGCTCACAGAACTGGCTGATTTTAGTCACAAATTAGAGGAACAAAGGAAGGCTAAACTAATTGAAATGAAGGGAAATGCACAGGAAAGCAATAGTGATGGAAAGGAAACTGGGACTCAAATCAAGGGAGTGGACCAGAAGGAAGAAAAAAATGACCAAACAGAAAAGAATAAAGAAACAATAATTCAAAAAAAATGAGGAGAGGCTTAGGAACCTCCAGGACATCTTTAAACATTCCAACATCCAAATTTTCTAATGCAATTGTAAGTGCATTTGTTTCCCTAACTTATCTTTTTTGACAGTTCATTACTGCTATATAAAAATAAACCTGATTTCTGAATATTAATTTTGTATCCTGTAACTTTACTGGATTTATTTATGAGTTCTTGTAGTTTTTTGGTAGAATCTTTATGGTTCTCTAAGTATAATTTCATGTTATTGGCAAATAATGACAGTTTTACTTCTTTCTTTCCAATTTGGATGTCTTTTATTTCTTCTTGTCTGATTGCTGTGGCTAGGACTTCCAGTACCATGTGGAGTAGTATTGGTGAGAGTGAACATCCTTGTCTTATTCCTGATCTTAAAGAAAAAGCTTTCAGAGTTACACCATTGAGCATGGCATTAGCTGTGGGTTTGTCATTTATGGCCTTTATTATGTCGAGGTATATCCCCTCTACTCTCATTTTGCTATGAATTTTTATATAAATGGATGTGGGATTTTGCCAAATGCTTTTTCTGCACCTATCAATACAATCATATGATTTTTATCCTTCAATGTGTTTATGTGATGTATCATGTTAATTGATTTGTGGGTATTGAACCAACCCTGCATCCCCAAAATAAATTCCACTTGATCATGGTGTATGATTTTTTGATGTATTGCTCAATTTGGTTTACTAATAATATTTTGTCAAGGATTTCTGTATCTATATTCATCAGGAATATTGTTGTATAACTTTTTTGTAGTATTGTTGCTTAGTTTTGGTATAAGGGAATTGCTGGCCTTGTAAAACGAGTTTAGGAGAATTCCCTCCTCTTCAATTTTTTGGGAACGGTTTGAGAAGGATATTGTTAATTCTTATTTGAATGTTTGGTAAAATTCACTATTCTTATGAGTATTTAATATTAGCAGGACCTATAATGATGTCATCTTGTTCATATCTAATGTTATTTCTTCACATTCTTTCCATCTATTATTTGATTATCAGTTTTACTAGAGTTCATTAACTTCACTAACATTTTATAAAACATTTTGTATTTTATTAACTCTCTATGACAGGAAAGTCTATCTCGGGGCTCAACTTCAAATGATATAAGACTTACACCAATTCTAATGGGCTCGCCAAATATTTTGCTGCTTTCACAGGAAAGGGAGATACAAATTGATTTGGGTGGGGTTATTCTGAAATAATTCAGACTAGTAATGCTCAAGTAACTTCACTGAGGTGCAGTCCCCTTCATTTTTCTTAGACATGCTATGCATTTATAGTAGCCTAGGGTAACCAACCGCGCCTTCTTGATCACCAGCATCTGTCAGCCTAAGGTACTCTGTGTCACAGACCATTATCATGTCCTGTGGACATGATCGACATTCCTGCAAAGCAGATTTCCACAGAGAGACAGAAATCGATACAGCCCTGAGATACCACCACAGCTGCACTGGTTTCCCTCCATGTGAAATCAATGCGTGTTAGACATCTGCTGTTGTATTATGTCAGTCAAGTAAACAGACCTCATCTGCAACAGTAATGCAATTGAAGTTGCCATCTAATTAAATTTATAACAATGTCCAACACCCAGCCATTCTTCACACAGGTCAAAAAGGGAAATTGAATGGGAAATGATTAAAAGAAAGACCTCTATGTCTTTTCAACAGTCAAATAACTAACTTTCTGATTTCATTAGGGAAGCCGAATTGTTGTCATTTTGTTTGTTTGCACTCTACCTGGACCAAGTCACAAGGGCTGGTTAGGAGAATCAATGTGATAGTGTTCCTGGTTGGTCAGGAGGTTTATTTCACGCATGTGTTTGAGCTGCGATGAAATTCACAGGATGTGTTTATTCACAGAAACAGACACAGGGAAGTGTTTTCCCTCCACTCTGGTTAGTGGTTTCTTTCAAAGCAATGTCTTTGGTCCTTTGATCAGCTGAAATGCATAATTAATCAAGTTAGTAGAAATTTTTCTAGTAGAAAAATTTCAACAAAAATTACGTTGTAATTTTCAAAACCTGTGGGGCATAATAAATATAAGTGATAGTTCATATTTGTGGAGTGCTCATTCCAGGCAGGCACTGTTTCAAGAATTTAATTGTTCCTCTAAACAATATTTTTTTCTGTGACTCATGTGTTCTTAAAATAAATATTAATATCACCCAATATTTTTTTTACTTTTTATTTCTTCTTGGATCTGAGTAATTTTAATTTTACTTTTAGTATTAATTTACACTTTTAGTATTAATGTACACTTTTAGTATTAATTTATAAATGTATTACATTACAATCAGTTTCTGTGTTATTTCTGCTTTATGGGTTTTACCAAAGTTCTTTGTAATATATTACATATCGACTTTGACCCAAGTTACTTATATTCTTTACATTTTGTTTTTTTCATGTGGAAAATAGCCTTAAAATTAAAAAAACACTACAACTTTAGATGGTGGTTGTGAAAATAACATTAAAACTGTCTAGTTATTAAACCTATGCCTTATTTAATGAATTAAAAATTTTAAAGTAATGGTGGTATCATGTGCTCCAGAAGCAATCAGACCAGAGACCAATGTCTGCACTCCTTGTTCTTTCTGTGAGGGTCTACTGGGGTGGTCCTTTAGGCTGGCCTCTTCCACTCAGGTGAGTACAAGTACACATTAATGCACCTTCTGTCATGTGTGCTGTGGACCATTTGTGTCCCGTGGACCATTTGTGTCCCACATTTTAACACTGGTAGCATTCTTTCTGCCCCTAAACTAAACCAGGTGATATGCTTAAGACCAGGTTCTCATTCTTCAGAGAGCTTGTTGCTTTTAACGATTCCTGCCACCAGCTGTTGCAGTGCAGTCACAGTTATGGGGTTGACTTGCAGAGAAAACACTGTGGCCTGCTAAGGTCTTACGAATGCTAACAGGGCTACCAGACTTATAAAAACAAATGGCAATTTAAATGAACATTTCAGAAAACAACTTGGTGCTCACTGATGTGTTATCTCTTGGTCTTGGGGAAGGGAAGGTTTTCTTGGCCATTTTACAGGATACTGTCAGCAGGATAATACAGTTACATTAATATATTCACTCTGATATTCTTACACTCTTAAATCTTTAGACATTTTAATGTTTTTAATAGCAAGGAATACATGTGTGGTGGGCAGAATAAAGGCCCTCAAAGATATGCTAGTTTGCATCTGCTTTGTTAAAAAATGTGACAAAAGAGACATTGCAGAGGTGATTAAGTGCTGTGAGGTGGGGCGATATCCTGGATTATCCAGGTGAGCATAGGGGGAAACACAAAGGCCCGGACAAAGTAGTACAGAGCTGAAGAGACTCGCCGGAGGGGTGCAGTGGGAGAATTCAAATTGCCTGGTCTTATGTCACTGGCATTGAAGGTGGAGGGGCTATGACCCAAGGAATGAAGGCAAACTCTGGAAACTGGAAAAGACAAAGAAACAGAGTCTCTGTTTTTCACTCAAGGAAGAACCTCATTACCTCAGACGAGAGAGGGCACCTCACCTGACACGAGATGCTTGTTGGAGGTTGGCATTCAGCTTCATTGCGATCAGCAGAACTTCTCTCACGTGTTTTCCTTCTGATTCTAATGGTCATATTTTCTTTCTCCTCCAATCAGCGCCCTAACTTAAAGTAAGAATTCTACTCAGGAGAGGAAATTCAACCAACCTTTAGCTTCCTAAGGCATGTTCCATGTTTTTAATCTGAGACTAACTACACTTGTTTCTAAATATTTTAACATCTTTAACACCAATAGTGAGACCACTGGTCTTTGATTTTCTTGTACCCATCACACTGACACCTGGTTCTCCAAACTTCTGTCTCTAATGCTACAGATGAATTATATTTCCTAGGCTAATTTCCCAGTTTACTATTATAAAACAATAGTACAGTTGAAACAGATTTATTGTATATGACTACTTATAAGAAGATATGTGATTTTATGGATATATGTAGTATTTATAGTTGAAATCCCTGCATCAAACATGACTTATTTGTGAAGAATGATGTTATTTGAAATTACTAGCATACTTTACATAATCATTTTATGTAATCTTTTTACATAGTCATTTTACATAATCTCTTTAAATCGTTTAATATAATATAAGATTTGGCTAAGAATTACTATCAAGCTTATTAGGTTGTGGAACTCAGAATTAGTCAATATTTCTCTCAGAAACTGAGAATTTTGCTCTATGTAGTAGCATTCTAGTGAGTTCCAGAATTCCAGCTTGTTTCTTACAAATATTAGTAATGCATATCAGATTAACACACATGTACATTGCTTCAGTGTTCATAGATATAATCAACCTCAATCTTTACATTTGTGTTTAATCCGAAGTACTTACTCTTTCTTGTTGATTCAATACCTATCTCTATAATCAGTGTTCATCTTTTAAAAGGTATAAGTTTCCTGTGATACTGTCATGGGAATTATGTCTTAAATTTGTACCTTTAATCATTCTTCTTCCATACCTGCTATACTCTCTTTTCATAGCATGTGCGTGGGCAAATTTGCGTTACCCAACCCCCCAAATCCACCGCTCTTCAGCGCGGGTGTGTCACTTCCCAGAAACACGGAGCTGCCTCGGAAGGTGTGTCCTTCCTGGACCTTGTCGGAAAGCCTGGAGAAGCTCCACAGTGATGAGGCCCGATGCCAGGCATTTAGGTGTCGTCAGCCTCTTCATGGTTTCGTCACTGCCTTCTATCCTTTTTACCTCCCCCCAGCCCACACTGGGATGGTCCAAAACTCTTACGTTGATTTCCTTTTATTTTTATCCTCCAGGTAAAGAAGTTTCATCCACTTCTAATCAGGTAATAAAAACACTACATTTGTCCGATAAATGTCAAAATCCAGATGACTTTGCTTAAGTATAGCTGTAAGTCTTCTTTACTTGCAAATTCTGAATGCACTGATCAATGTTTTTCATATTTAAATAATATTCTTGGTATTTTTTTTACTTTTTAATTTTGGTAATTTTAATCCAGAAATGAAAAGAAATAAAACATTGAAAAATACGTTAACTCATTTAAATGATTGGAAAGTTCTTCCTGCTATTCCAATTCTACTGAAGTTTACTGTTTTAATTTTCAAAACTATAACAAAAATTAATTAAATCAAATAAATAGACACATAATTTAACCTCCAAGAAAACATCAGTTCTTTTTAGTTCCACACATTTATTTCCATCCTTTTGTCCATGAATTAACATTTATATTTAAAAACATGGTGAACATCAACAAGTTTATGAAAACAGTTTATTCCTTTTAATACTATATCACAAACATTTTGTTAATTTGATTATTATGTAGCATCTTAGTTTCTAAGTTTTTCTTTATGGTGTATGCCAGTGAATTATAAGCAGTGTGCCACAAGAATTTGGGGAGGGGCACTGACTTCTTTCCTTTAGATTGTCAAATTTGAAAAACCATAACAGCCAACACAACAGTAGCCATCCAGTGTGCATGAATAAAAATTATACCTATTTCTTTTCTCAGATTGGCAAAATATATATTTGGGTGTGCTGCAGAATTATAACAATTAGATTGTGTCATGAGATTTTAAAAGGTTGAAACTGAAGACCCAAGATGACAGAGGAGTAAGTAGAAGCTACACTAATCTTCTCCCAGGACAAACTGGGAATTGCAGCTAACTTGCAGAGAAATCACCCTGAATAACCAACTGGATGCTAGCTGGAGAGAAGCCTTATAACCACAGAGAGACAGAAGAAATGACTTCACCACATCAAGACTTGTAGAAAGTGTGAGAAGGCTGGCCAGGCTTCCACAGGTGGCAACTGAAATGCCAGTGGGACATTTCAGCGGCCATGGGCTTTCCTCCTGAGAAGTGTGAGCTCTAAATGCCAAGCTAGGCTCTTCAGCCTTCAGCACCAGAACCAGAAAAGAACCCAGGTGACATCCAGCTGTGAAAAGCAGCAGGGGTTCTGTTGGCCTGAGAGAGATGGCTCAAGACTCAGAATGTCTTAAAGGGCCAAAACACAAAATTTTGTTTGCAGCCACTTACCCTGGGTTCTGGCAGAGGGAGAGCCGAGTGGACTAGAGATGTTTGAGGAGGGTCCGGGATTGGCGGCTCTGGGGAGAGAACTGAAGGGACAGCCACCAGGATCCCTGTGCTGAGTCACGCCCCACACAGCAGAGTCCATCTTTCTCAGGCAGAGCTCTGCTCTCCAAATGGCATCAGCCTGAGGGGAAACAATAGCCCCACCTGCAGGAATCACTTGGCCCCACCCTGTGCAGTTTCAGCCAGGCTGCTGATTACAAATTGATTAAATTAACAACTGGTGTGTTTAACCGTGGATTAGTTCAACACCTAAGGTGGAAAATAGGAAGTACCAGCCAAAATGGGAAAACAAAGAAACAGACCCCGAATGAAAGAACGAGAGAACTTTCCAGAAGGACTAGATGAAATCGAACTAGATAAAAAACTGAACTAAAGGAAAATAGATGGAGAGCAGGATGATAGCTAGTGGGAGAGGGTAGGTGAGGGGGGTAGAGTGATTGAGCAAAAAGGAAAAAGGATTCATGGGCATGGACAACAGTGTAGTGATTGCTCCAGGGAGGGGACTACAAGGGGACTACGTGGTAATGGAAGAAAATACAATAAAGACTAAATTTTTAAAAAAGTTTTAAATCACTGGTGTATGTGATTGAAAATGTGCCTAAGCAGACAGACAGGGCCGTAGCCTGGAGGTGGCCCACTCACATCTTCGGACAGCACTGAGGCAGCTGCCCAGGGTCTGGTCCCTGCCCTCCCCGGGCCCCCCTCTCCTCCTCCCTCCCCACCTCTGTTGCCGTCCCTGGGGGACTAGCCTTGCCGGGAGGCACTACAAGCCCTGGGGTAAACTCACTATCCTAAAGGTCCATCCTCCCAAGAAGGGACAGCACGAAAGACCACTTTGTAAAAAAGTCCTTTTTTATTATGTGAATGAAACCTTGAAAGACCAATGGGAGTACAGCAGGACTGCCAAGCTGGAAATCCGGCTCAGGAAAGGCCACCAGCTCGGTATCACGAGAAGAGGTGATAATGACAATCACCAAGGAGATGTGGAGCCTTATTTCCATTGATTTTTGAGAGAGAGGAAGAGAGAAACACTGCTGGGAGACAGAAACACTGATTCGCTGCCGTCCCTAAGCACCCTGACTAGAGATGGACCAGCAACCTAAGCATGTGCCTCCATGAAGAATCGAACCTGCAACCTTTTGGTGAATGGCGACGCTCCAACTGAGCCACCTGGACAGGGTTAGCGCCTGCTTTGGAAGCATTTGTTCTTTCTTCTCCATGAAAACAGCCCTGGGGAACAGGAGTGCAGTGATGAGACTTCTCAGGAGGGGGAGGGCTCCTGGGTGTGTCCCTGCCCTGACAAGCCCGTCATGCTGGGGGAAGAATGGAAGAGTTTGTTTGTAAGATATGAAAAGATTCATGGGGGTAATGTCTCATGATGCGCTCCCAGACTGGCTCGAGGATGATTTCCTTTTACACGGACACTGGCCCTGTGCCTTCTTTATTGGCCTATTGATTCTAGAGAAAGGAAAGGAGAGAAATGTTGATTTGTTGTTCCACTTATTTATGCATTCAGTGATTGAATCTCATATGTGTCCTAACCAAGGACCAAACCCCCAACCTTGATGTAACAGGATAACACTCTCGCCGACCAAGCAATTTGCCTAGGGCCCCCCAGGCCTTCCTTCCTGACCTGTTTTAAGAGCATTTTCAGAATATGCATGAGACAGGCAACATCTTCTGTTTCTGGGATCTTTTACACATGTTTTGCCCAAACGGCTCCACCGTGGCACCTCTGCAAGAGACAGTGGTGTGTGGATTCTTCCTGGGAGCCGTCCCTGCCTGTCCTTTTCACAGGTCTCCCACGCAGGCTACTGTCACCGAGAAGGGGTCTCCCAACTCTCCTCTAAACTGGATTACTCTGGTATTGCTCCTTGGCTTATGCAGTTCTGTTCCTTGGCGTCACTATTCTTTCTACTATAATCCACCACCTCGCTTCATCTACTTCATCGTGTTGTGTGTGCTGGGCATCGCACCTGTTATCATCTCCCAATGGGGCGCGTCTGCCACCCATCAGCACCAAGGAGTCAGGGCCGGCGTGACTCGGGGCTCAGGCCTGAGTGAGCCATTCCTGCCTTGCACTGTGTCATCTTAGAGGGGCCCCCGAAAGCTGCCACCTGTAAACAGCCAGCCTCTGTACCACAGGGACTGCCCGTGTGCTACCTGCATCCGTGAATGCCTCTCTCCTGGCAAGTGTGACAGCTGGTTTCACTCTCATCAGCTGTTCCATGTCTCTGTGGTTGCCGGAGTTTTCGTTCACTCCCACAGGGTCTCACTCCGCTGGGATTTCCATGATCAGCAGAGGCTGCAGTGAAGAGGGTGCACTGTGACACCTGGCCGTAGCCAAGGACCGGGACCCTGAGCCAGACCCTCCGTACCTGCGGGCCACCCTTCCTGGCCATTGGCGCCAGTGTCAGAGAAGCCCCAAAACTTCAACAGCCTCGTGGGCTTGGTGGTGCCCCAGGGGTGCCATGTGGCATGTAATGGAGAAGAGAAAGAACAAAAATAAACCATACCACACGAGGTGGAGTGCATCCGTTTGGAGAAACGACCCAAACCCCGATGTGTTCTTGGGATGTAGTGACTGAAGGCGCTGCGGGACCCTGCAAACTGGCTTCTGATTCACATCATATTTATTTGTCGAAAATGGGGAAGCAGTCTAACTGGAGCTCATTCATCTCCCTTTCTCTCTCCATGTAACAACAATGTACATCGGTTTAAGGGGACATTTCGTGTATCCTGCCGTGCACAATGCGCACCCGCATTTTTGTGTGCATTATACACAGGATTATTATACCCATGATCATACGCATGGCATGTGATCATTACACCCATGTACAACACGCAACCATATTTTTCCCTAAAAAATTTGGGCAAAAACGTGCACACTATACATGGCAAAATATGGTCTACTCAAGGGGTGGGAGTGTGATTTTTAGATGCTGTCTTTAAAGAAAACAAATAAATTAATGTAAGTAAGATTTCTAACTTACTATTTAAATGAGAATTTATATAAATGTTTAAAACTCAAGAGTAGGGGAGGGAGGGAGAATTTTTGTTCAGAATGAAGCATGCAAGTACCACAAACTGTATCAGTTCTTCACGGAGTGACGGCAGCCGCACAATGCACAGAGCCACGGTGCCCCAAGGTGCCTTCTGAAGGCCCATGCACCTGGGACCCAGGTGGGCGGAGAGCGCAGCTCCAGCCCAGAGGTCTCAGGACCACTTGGGAGGTGGAGGGCGGGCTGTGCAGCGGCGCGGGAGCGGCAAGCAGTGTCAGGTAGAGGCTCTAGTTCAGGTGTCCTTGGAGAGGACCCACTTGTTTTCTGTGCCGAGGACCCTCTCTGAGGAGAACAGCCACCTGCTCAGGACAGTCCATTCTGCAGGCAGGCAGGCAGTGGAGAGGTGCACACAGGGGCTGACAGATCACCTCCTGGCTTCCAGTTCAGTTTTGTGGTGATTTTTACTGGACTGCGGGGAGGTGACAGTTTTCCATGTCCTCGTTATGGGGCTTTGCAATGCCTTGGAAATGTCCCTCTATTACAGTCTCTGCCCCCACCCTGCTTCTTCCTCCTGGGAGTAATCGCTGGCCTCCCCATGCCCCCTATCATGTTCCTGGCATGGAGCCAGCCTCGAAGGAGTCCGCCTTGTCCAGGGGCTCTGGAGCCCTCCTCCTCTGCTTCGTCCGGATTAGGAAGATGGGCCCACCCCTGGAGCACTGCGTGGCCAGTCTCATTATGACAGACCAGTTGCCTCTCCTGAACACAGAGGCCAACAGAACTCTTTGTAAAGCAGGACCGGATACCCAGCATGGAGTTATGACCAGTCCCTGAACCCCATTTTTAAGGGATGGCGTGGTGGGGAGCTTTAAAAGGGAATTGTACGTTGTTGCCAGGGAGTCTGGTAGGAACTGTCAAGCTGTATCTTTGCAGAGCTTCTAGAAGTGAAAGAGATTGCTCGTGCCTGTCGCCTGGGCTCTGTCGCCTGTCAGGGAGAGTGGCAGGGGAAGGTGCTGGTTTGAGTATTCTGGTCCCGAACCACCCAAATAGCACTTGAGTGTCAGGGTACTTACTGTCATCCAAGACTTTAGGTGACCGTTACATCCTGGGGATTGTGGGAATTAGAACTAAGCACTGAGGCACCAAGTGTGGGGCACCCTGAACTGGGTGTTTGGGAATATGGAATTTATTCCATATAGGGTTTTCTCGGTTCTTTTTCTCCTTTCTCCCCGCTTCCAATCTCCAGCAAAACCTGGGAACCAGCAAGAAAGAATCTGTGGTAGAACTTGGGAGAAACTTAAGAGTATTTTCATTCTGGCCAAGGTCACTGCCTGGGTGCTAGTTGGACCCAGCAGAATAAAGAGCAGGCTTCCTCCCCTAGGGGAAGGGAGGTCACAACGGCACGCGTGTCAGAACCCAGACTGGCTCTTCGGTCGTGAGCTGGGATGTGGGGTGTGAAATGCAGGCTCCAAGCAAGACTAGGAGACAAGCAGCCCCTGGGGCCCGTCACCCCGCACCCCAGAGTGGGAGCTGAATCTGCTTCAACCTAGCGCAATCCCGTAGGAAAAGTCAAGTTTAACATCGGCGACGTATAATCCAGTAGAAATCTCTCTCTGGGGTGTGTGAGCACCCATTCGTGTGCGCATGCGTCTGTGAACAGCTTGCTGCAGCAGCGTCCCAGCTCGGTCTCACTCCTGGTCTCACTGTCCGGGCGACTGCTCTCCGGAAAGGCGCCCGGGGGCCTCTCCCGCCGAGGTCAGATGCTTGTTTGCCCTGTGCAGATCGTTCATTTTCCTTTTTTTTTTGTCTGTAGGCTGATCAGGGCCTCTACAGCGTCATTCTATCACCAGTAAATAGCGGCCTTTTCCAATACATTTTCCCTTCCCCATTGTAAGTTGCCGAAGCCACAAAGCACGTTTGGGGGGTCATAGAAGGCTGGGGTCTCAAAAGGCAGCTGGTGGGGGGGAGGCAGTTCCAGGCACCGTGGGACTGCCCTGCTTGCTGTGGTCTTCGCTGCCAATAAAAAGGACCAAATGGAATATGGGGGAAAAAAGTACTTAAACACTCTAAAGTTATGCATTGTATTTTATCTAATAAATATGTATAGTTATGTAACCTGATTAACTCCTTACTGAGTTCTGTCTCAGCATCTATGACCTGCAGTATCCTCGAATGCAAGCGCTTTTCTCTAGAGCACAGGTGGCAAACACAAGGCCCATGGGCCGACCTGGTTTTCTCCCGCCCCGCACCTGGTTTTTACCCGGCGGCAGCACTGAGCTCTCGATGAACTGTTAAGGAGTAGTTGCATGTATACAGTCCTAAAGTTACATTCAGCCCTTTGAAGTAAACCGCCAGGCTGGTGCGGGCCCCGCCCCGGTGAAAATGAGTGTGACACCCTTGCTCTAGAATCAGAGGGACCACCATGTTCTTCTTTCCTTCTCTGTTACACGAAGTGAAATAAAAGCAGAGAGAGTAGTAGTAACAGCACATGCAGGGTGCGGCGAAAGCAGGTTTACAGTTTTTCGTATGGAAACGACAATAATAATAATAATTACATAATAATACATAACAATAATACAACAATAAACTGTGTTTCGAGGACTCACAACTGTAAACCTGCTCTTGCCACCCACTCCCACCGCACAGTGCTAAGCCGAGGTCCCTCAGACATCAGGGCCCCAGGTGCCAGATCGGAGAGGAGGGGGCGGGGCCCGAACGCCAGCCTGACTCCCGTCCGGTCCTTGTGCCCCGCAGGGAGCTCAGCACGGCGGCGGCTCCGACGAAGTGTGCTACACCACCATCTGCCACAGGCCCTCCTTGAGCTCCAGCGAAGGCGGCTACGAGAACATCGACGCTGTCACCAAGAGAGTGAAGGCCCGGGACGCAGAACCAGAGACCGAATACACCCTCCTGAGGGCGCCGCGCGTCCCCAGGCGGCCCTCCTGCGCCCTGGAGCACGATTACGAACTTGTGCTGCCCCAGTAGGCCCCTCGCACCCCGTTGTGCTCTCTGGGGAGGTGTCTCACCGCGCAGCTCACAGCACACCCACCACGTGGGTGTTTCTGGCGGGGGTTTAGAAACGGTATCCCTCCACCACGTGGCCTTGGGAGACTCTTCAACGCGGCCCCGCTGAGGTCTGTGTGGAGCCGGGTGCTGTGGCACTGTGAAGTGTTCTCCACCTTTCTGTCTGTGAGGTTTGAGGACATGGAGGTGGTGGGGACACCTCCCTAGGACAATAATCACCCACCGACCGTCATGGCACCCAAAATATTCCATCCCAATCACTGTCTCCAAATTTCAAATGCCAGCATTTTCATTCCTAAATATGTACTTCATGTCTGATGTGTAAACTGCTCAATAAACTTTAAAAATATAAGACCAGTGACGAGATCCTTTGCTAAGCTAATACTTCCGTTTTGCCTTTTCCATGTGTGTGAAATTTTATTGGTGGTGATGTTTCAAGAATCAGTAGTGGTTGGTAATTGGATTTTGCGAGAAGAGATGCCGAGCACGCCGTTGCCTAAAACGAAGTGCGGCGGGCTCAGCTGTCCACTGTCTTCCTTTCAATAGTAAATAGAATGACTTTGTTCAACGATCAGTAAAAATCAAAGGTGGCCTCATACCTGTAGCTCTGCTCACAGCGTCCTGGGGGACTAATTACCCAGGAACTGCCTGTGGTAGTTACCTCTGCTAAAGAAGAAGTCATCTCTGATTTTAAATTTGACACAAGTGGATAAATAACCCATTCATTTTTATTTTCATTCCCAAGGAATTTTTCACTGACATGCCAACTTCCCAGTGAGGACATGGGCTCTAGTGGACAAAGTGTCCACGGGTCATTTTTCTGTATCGTGGCCCTTGGGCTGTGGACAAGCACCGGTCAGTAGATGGACACGGCCACCATTCATGTTACACAAGTTTTGACTCTCTGCCCTTGACTAGTTCTTGTGCTCTTTTGTGTTGATTTCAAGGTCTGAATGGAGAACATCACAGAAATCTTACAACTGGGAACAGTCACCCTGTCCGAACTATGCCAGCCTTGTAGAAATCAGCTAAATTTAGGAAATGACAAAATTAGTTACTCTGTATGCCTTTGTAGTTATTTTTAATATATAAGAAGTGTCATTTAAAATAAGATTGAGTAAGTTTTAATTGTGTAATAATCTGGAATTATAGGAGAAGGGGTAGGTGATAGACTGGTGAATAGTATGTTTTTTTTTTTCATTTAATCTTTATTGCATTTCTTCTGTTACCATTTAGTCCCCATATACCCCCCTGCTGCCAGCAATCACCACACTGCTCTCCATGGCCATAGTCCTTTATCCTTTTGGCTGAATCCCTCCTCCCCCGCCCATCCCCCCAGCTGTCATCTACTCCTCAAGCCTATTCCCTGTAAAATCTAGTAAATGAACTGAATAGCATTGTCTAATAGAAGAATCATTGAAGTTCAAAGGCATACATGTGACCTAGTTATGGACAGATCACTTAATCTTTCTGAGGTTCAGTTTTTCAGCAAAAGGGAATTTTCAAAATTAAATACCTTATGTGGTTTTGAAAAACAAAACTATTGTTTTAGAAGTGCTTTTGAACCTGTAAATTGTTTTCTAAAGGTTAACTTATTTTCGTGCATATAAATACTTGGAATTTTAAACTTGCGTATATCTTTAATCAATTTGCATACAATAAAATGTAACCACCCTAAGGAGTTATATAAATTTTGTCAAATGTATTCACCCATGTAACCACTTCCCCATGTATGTCATTACAGAAAGTCCTATCATGTTCGTTTCTGGTCAATTTTACCTGTCCTGGCAACTAATGCCCTGCTTTGTATAACTAGATCAATTAGTCTCTTCTGAAGATGTATAGGAATTGATCCTTCCAGCATTTGTGGGTTTTTTTTTTACATTCAGTCATTTTTTATTCATCACATATTTAAGATTCTTCTGTTTTACCTTGTATCAGTAGTTGACATCTTTTTTCAGGGTATACTTCAATATAGATATACTATAATTATAAATCTAATCACTTGCTGATGGGTACATGCCGTATTTAGTTTTTGACATCATGAACAAAGCTAGTACAAATATACTTGCATTCCCAGATGTACATGTTTGCAGGCTCGGTGGCTTAAACAACAAAAAATTCATGTTCTCACAATATGGAGTCTGGGAAGCCCAAGATCAAAGTACCAGTAGATTTGATTTCTCTCAGGCCTCTAAGTGAGAAACCGTTTCATGCTTCTCTCCCAGTTTCTACTGAACTGAAATTTCTAGGGGTCTAATTGTATGGGGCGCCCTGGATAGTCCTTCTCAGGTGAAAAATCATTTAGTGTACCTGGCTGCTCCTACGACCAAAAGCAAAGGCACAGCGCCCGTGGACCTCCATGGATTTTGGAGACAATATATTAATTTTTTTATTACAGTTGGTACACAGTATTATATAATAGTTTCAGGTGTGCACATAGTGATTCGACATTTCTATTCCTTACCATGTAATCCCCACATCGAGTCTAGTAACCTCGGAGACAGCGCCCTCTTTGGTTGGGTGTGCAGCTGTGAGACACTTACCAAGTGAGTGGAAGCTGATAGTTTTCTTCTCCTTTTTATTGACTGTCATGACATGACACTGGCAAGACTATACAGGTTTCAGGGGCACAATCCCACAACACGTCATCTGTACACCCTAGTGTGTGGTCGCCATCCCAAATCAGGCCTCCGTCCATCACCATTTATCCCCGCCCGACCTTCCTCCAGCTCCCCGTGCTGGCTCTCCCTAGCTAGCTTTTCCTCTATTTTTTCCTTTTTGCTCAATTCCTCTCCTCTCCATCCAGCCCCTCAACACCCCACCCAGAGCTGTCAGCCTGCTCTGTCCATGAGTCTGTCTCTGTTTTCCTTGTGAGTTCAGTTTGATCATTAGATTCCACACATGAGTGAAATCACACGGTACTCATCTTTCTCCGAGTGTCTTATTTCACTCAGCATAATGCTCTTTAGATCCACAAAAGCTGCTCATTCTCTTGTGATTCAGTTATCTTTCTCTTCCTGGTAAAGAAACCAAGACACCCTTACAAATAGAAATTTATTTATACCCTGATTTTCAGAGCTTCTCTTATGCTTGCAGTTTTTTTTTTAAATCAGTTCAGAATAATCCTTATGCCAAAAAAGGTGTATTTGGAGTGTCATATTCTGACATTGTTCACCAATGGCAGCGACATTTTTTTTGCCCACAGAGTCACTATGTTGGGATTCTTTTAATTTTTTCGTCACCAGAATCTCCGTAACGATCGATTTCTTTTTGGGGCTATTTCTGTAAACTAACCTGTTGGATATCACCATCCTGTCCCAATGCCACATCAGTAGCAGTGAAAACCATACCAGCAGCCCCTTGCCCAATGTTTTCATGTCGTGCATATTTTTTCTTAGGGTCGCCTGTAGTCACATAGTTCTCAATTTCTGCATAATCTTTTCATCTGTCACTTGGTCTCTGTGAAAAGACTTGACACCCCTACCACCATTAGAATCACCGACTGGTACAGGAATGGGGCAGTTACAGACCACGTGTAAATTGATTTTGTGTGATCCACTCGCGGGGCAGGAACCGGAGCAGTAGCCTCTTCATCATCGTCATCTTCCTCCAAGGCTGATGTTTCCGGCTCCCTGAGAGTTCAGGCTGGGGTTCCAGAAGGGAAGCCGGCTTTCTCCCGAGGAGGAAAGTTCAGATGCTCAGGCTTCACTGTATGGGACCCTCGGAACGTGAAGGCGCCCGCACAGCCTGAGGATTCTTGTTCCGCTTCAGCTCGGTGATGCTGGGCGTCTGCAAGGACCGAGCCCGCGGCTCCGGCCGGCCCGCGAGGTCTCCAGGGGCCGCCTCAAAGCCAACGAGCACGTGCTCGAGTCGGATGGGCGAGAAACTCCCGGCTGCTGCTTCTCTTTCTCCTCCTTTCCTTTCTCTGTGCCTGAGACCGTAGAGGTGATTTTATTCCTGGGCCTTTCTTTCCAAGAAACAGAGAGGGCAACGGGTTCAAGGTGTGACTGGCTGACCAGGTGCTAAAACCCGTACAGCTCCTTCTGCTGGCAGGCGCGGCGGGGCGGGCTTCCAGTTCCCCCGGATCAGCAACGGTCCGGAGGGAGGACAGCGCCCCCGGCGGGGAAGGGTCGCGGCCCAGCCCGGGTTTGGAGCAGGAGAGGCGGGCAGCGCGGGCGGGCCGGGAGGGCGCGCAGGGAGGGCGCCGCAGGCGGTGCAGCCCCGCCCCACGGCCGCAGCAGCGGGCAGGCAGGGCGACCGCCCAGGCCGGAGGGCTGAAATGGAAATGCTGATCTTTTGAGGATGAAGCAATGAATACCCCTTAACTTTCTTCCCGGGGCCCCATCGTAGCCTGCGTTTGATGGCGTGTAGTCTGACGGCTTTGGACTATGCCGTTGTTACTAATTACTTTTTTAGGTGGCGTATTTTCAGGGCAGTGACAGCGGTCGGAAGGGCACTTCAGCGCGCGCTTCCCGCTGCTCTGTCGGCCGCTGGCCTGCGCGCCTACCGGCTCCAGTTCCCCGCGTTCCGATGAACTGTGTACCCTTCTCTACAGCCAGTTCTCCCACTTTTGGCCTCGCTCCTGTCTCTCCTGCCACCTCGAATGAAACTGTTCCAGAATTTTGTTCTCTCTCCTACATCATTTTCCCCCTCTTTACAGTATTTAAGCAAAGCAAGAAGAAGTGCTATTTTATTCTAATCTACAAGACTTCAGGGGTGGAATGGGAGAAATAGATTAAAAAAAATGTACTTGAAAAGTAACTAAATAAAATTTATATAAAAAATAAAATACACATGCATAAAGAAATAAATATGAATCTATATTGAGAGGAATGCCATATATATATATATATATATATATATATATATATATATATATATATATATATAATTTGTGACCATAACAGATTCAATGTGAGGAGGAAGCAAAGCTATACAGGTTCAAAGGATTCATGTACTATTGAAATTAAAATTGTTTAAACTGGGGGAAAAAAAAAAAGACCTCTCACCCTAGATTTTTCTTCCCTTTTGAAGCAAAAATCTTAAGTTATCTTGGCTTCCTTCCTCAAATTCTTTACCGTTGGCTCTTACATCCTCTTCACCCACATTTCACATGACCATACTGGAAATACATCTCTTTCTTTAAGTGACATTTATTTTATTTGATAACATCTGAATGATACTTTCTCACACAAGATTTTTTTTTTCTTCCTGGCATAATTACTTTCCTTTTTCTTGCCGATAGAAGAATGAGGCGCCTTGACCTCATCCCCAGGCCTGTGTATATTCTCAATCAGGCGACTGGTGCCTGAAGTTCAAGGT